AAAAGTAGTCTGAATTTTTGTTTGTATTTTGTTTTGCACAAATTTTTAGTGCTTGATATATTAGTCATATAATGTTCAAAACTTTTTTTGATGATGATTTTACTCTTGTCTATATTATCGTTATACTGAATACTGCTGAAATTAATTACTTAACCGGATTGGCAGAAAAATTATTCAGCTAATTTTTGCCAGGTGTCTCAGAATTTATAATAACAGCTATAATATATAAATATCTGATCATGCCAAATCATAAACATAATCAAATCGGCCAAAAAATCATTCGGTTAATTTTTTTCAAGTATCCCGGATGAAAACAGCTGTAACTTATTTCAAAAATAAATAGGAGTTTAAAAATTTTTTTTATGGTTTGAAATTCTAAAATCAGGAGCATATGCATATGAAATTTATAAACTTTTTAAAGCAGATAAGGTTTAAAGTTGCTCAAATACATCATTTATCTGCTGAATGCACAAATTATTTATGCAACTTACATGAAAAATATAGAGTGAATGCATGTATTCCATTGCATAATTTCTTTAATATGCCTGGAAAGTAAAAATAATTACAAATATAGGCTTAGTGTAATAAGACCTAGTTTAATCAAATTTTTTATAAACTTAAAAAATAAAAAAAAATTATATATTTTTTTTTTAAAAAAACAATTCTTAGAAATTTTTTTAACTGTTTTTTTTTAAAAAAAAAAAGAAAAAAAAGTAAATTTAATAAAAAAAATGCCGAATGTTATTTAATTTTCATAAATAATCCGCCGGCCCATGATATCATTGTGACACTGCTGAGTTGTTCATAATTACAATTATTACCATCAATTTTTCACATACATTAAGTTGCAGAAAAATACAGAAGATTTTCCTTTACCTATTTCTTCAATTTATTAAAATGAATTCATTCAATTCTTATGTCTTAAAATATTCATCTATGCGAGTTTGCTGAGCAGAACTTGACATCATTCTCCTAATAAATTTCTCAAGAAAATTAATTGATTTTAATTGATCACCTGAGTCTTCCTGCTGAAGTAAAAACATCTGAACATTTTCTAAGCTATTCAACGCCAAGCTATTACTAACAATTGTGGGTTCTACACTATCGTCTTTCTCTTCATCTATTACCTTAGTATTTCCTTTATCCATAACTTCAACACTTTCATCATTTCTGAACATATAAGCCAGCTTCTTAATGATTTGATCCTCTGGAGGACTTTGTAAACAATCTCTTCACTATTAAAATTTAAGAATTCATCAATTTCCATCGCATTTAGAAGACAGAGAGTATTCAGTGACCTAATAAGACCTTCAAGCTTTGAATCATCAGCTTCATGAAGATCATCTGAAAGATTTGCACTAGACGAGAGAATTTTTGTATGATGTCAGCAATTATATATGGTTATAGCTGAAACCTCCTCCAACCCTTTATAATATACAAGATTGCTTGTAAAACATCTATTTTCAAATTCTGAATAAGATTACCTGCTTTGACTTGCTCCAACATCCATCTAATATTTTTTTAAAAAATTTTTTTTTAAAATCTGGATCCAATAGACTACTGTATCATAATAAATTAAAGAGTGAAATTCAATACCAATATTCAGCTCCATTTTACTGATAGTCTGCTTTACTGCCAACCTTATTATTAAGGACCGAATTATGTAATCAGCTGCTACTGAATAGACTATTAGTGAAACGGGACTACTGGAATTGTGGCAAATTAAACAAAGAATAAAATAATAATAAAATGAAGAATGAGTAAAAGAATCAAAAAAAAAAATAAAGATAAAATATACAGTACAATAACTTACTAAAGATGAAAACGACGATAGGCTCTTTTAAAAGCCATGATAATTCTTGCATTCATGGATTGTATCCTAGAAGTTGTATTTTTGGGTAAAAAATATACATCTACATGCTGGAGGGTTAGCTCATCTAACTTATGACTAGAACAATTGTCAAGAAGTAAAAAAACATTCTGGCCCGAATGCTTTTGCAACATTTGGTGGTCGAAATCCTGAAGCCACTCTTGAAAAAGAACCACAAGCATCCAAGCCTTAGCGTTGCTTCTATATGTTATGGGCAAGTTATTAATTCTCACATTTTTGAAACATTGGGGTTTGGTATATTTGCCAATTATAAGAGGGGCCAACTTATGGGATCCATCGGTATTCGCACATAATGCTACAGAAATACATTCCTTATTTTTTTTGTGCCCTGCAATTCGTCGAGTCGCTAAGGTTCGATCCGGTTCCAATCTAGAAAGAAAATTTTTTATTAAAAAAAAAAAAAAAGGAAAAAAAATTTTATTAAAAAAAAAAAAACTACCAGTAAAAAAGCCCTGTTTCGTCCATGTTATATATGTGGTCAAGAAGGTATTCAGAGCATTTACTTTGCAATAAAGGTAGGGATTCAGTAATAATATTCTCATCAACAGAACCTGCTTCTCCATAAAGCTTTATTTGATGGATTCCATTTCACTCTTTAAATTTTTGAAGCCACTCAGAAGAAAAATGTAACTTGCCTTCAGGGACTTCAAGTTCATCCACTAACAATTTTGCTTTTTTGATCATCATAGCATCACTTAGAATAGTGCAGTGTTGATAGATTAATATGAATTCCTTGAGTGCTAGCTCAAGCTCTGGTACAGTAACGGTCCTATGTTGCTTGGCTTCTGGATTTATGATTTCATTTGAAAGTTGTTGGTCCTTAGTTTGTAAGATTCGAGTGATCGTAGACTCATTAACTTTAACCCTTCATTTATCTTCAATCCACTTTACATATTCTGAATGGGTTCTTTTGTTATTACAGGCATAGACACAGAATTCAAATTTTTGATTATCTGTTAGAGTTGTTCTTTTAGGCATTGCCAAAAATATTATATGAAATTTATTTTTATTTTTTTTTTTTTAGAAGAATGCTAAAGCTTTATTTATTAAAATTTAGAAATCACTAAAGCACCTAAATCACTATTAAAATACACTTTCATTTTTTTTTTAATTTTTTTGTTTAATTGTTAAAAGGTTCATTAAAAGAGTTAATCAAAAAGGTTATGGATTGAACAGATTTTTATAGTTAGAATAAATTTCTTGTGCTAGTTTTTAAGATATAAGTTTAATCAATCCAGATTTATTACAGTATATAGCAATAGGGACTGTGTCTTGTTATATGCTGGCAATAAACTTACAGGCATCTCCTAAATTGGCATAATGAAAAACCACACTTTTTGTATGGCGACAAGTTACTTATTTCAAATAAGTATGGTGATGGATTACTCAGTTCAGATAAGTATCCATAGTGATAGCAGAATCAAATAGTTTGAGGATTGAATGTAAAACTTTTTTTTTATTTGATTCTCCTTTTATATAGATCCAATACTAAAGTTTATTTGATGATCCTTATAAAAAGTCAAATTAAATTATGTAATTTTCAATAGTTTATTTAATTAAACTAATCTTGTATATTTTATTTTTAATTACCCTATTGTTCTAATTTTATTATTGCAGTATTGTGTACTTTGATCTATGCCCGATTTAGTATCTGCATTTATTCAGATTTTGAAAAGCATAAATTCGATTATATATTAACTATATTGCTCAAATTTTATTTGTCAAGATGATCTATAATCACATGATAGCGCATTTACAGAGGGTACCTTAATAACAAAATCAAATGCACGTGCAGAATATAGAGGGTGTGCACTTAACAATATGGTTTCAGCTTGGGACCGGACTTTATAGTATATTTATAAAGAGTATGCACTTATAGAAGTGCACTTAGAGAGGTCTGACTGTACTAAATTAAATGATTCAGGCTTGGTGCGTATATAAGTATTTTATATCAATGCTGGGTTTTTGTGCATTCAGTAATTTTGAAAAGAATGATAATGAATAATTTGTATGAGTGCTATTTTTTAGTGATGTTATAATAAGTATATATCTTTCGAGTTTATTTGTTAAGAGATCAACCTTGATTTTTATATATTAGTAAGACTTTAGATCGAAATATGAGTAAGTCTATTTATAGGCATAGCATTATAGATTATTAGTGTTTATTATGTTAGGTTAGGATTTGCTATGTACGTATCAGGTTAAAGTTTAATTTATAAAAGGTAATTTTATATGCAAAATTTAAAGGTTACAAAGCATTTTTTTGTATTTATTGAGTTACGCATGTTTTGAATTTGACCATAGTATTTGTTGAGTTATGCATGTTTTGAATTTGCCATTTATTAATTATGTTGCGTATGATATACATATGTACATACGTATGTATGTATACATCTTATTTATTAACAGAACAAAATTTGTGCCTACATTATACAGTCAGACCTTCCTAAATGCAATGTGACAGGACCATATATAAAAATTTGGTCAAATGTGCACTTAGAAAGATATTGCATTTAGGGAGGTAAAAATATATAGATGTAATATTAGTTGGGCCCAAGAGAAGACATGCATTTAGAGAGGTGTTTTATAGGACATGCACTTAGAGGATCTGACTATAGTTACACAATATATAAATCACAGTTTGTTTATCATGGGTTAAAAATATAGCAAATGTTGTATAACATTTAAGTTATGTGATTAGGCGGTGATTTCCCCCCTAGTAAAAATTAGAAATACTCTTTATTATATTATTATAAAATTTTTACTTATATAACTAAAATGTTTTTTATATATTAGAATAAATTAGAAAATAATAGGTGTGATGACCTAGTAAAGTAGTCAGGTTGTCAACCCCCAAGTAGCAGGTCTAGAGTTCAAATCCTATGGATGACGAATTTTGAAAAATAAGGTCTGTGTTATGATAACTGTCTCTGTTGATCAGTTGGATTGGTGTATCTGTAACATTTGTTGCACCATCTCGAATAGGAGCTCAGGGCATCTATGCAAAGTGTAATGTTATACCTACATAGAGGAATATTAATAACTGATGTTGTATAAGACTTCAGTGCAAACCCATGATAAGACCACTGGGCATAGAAAGCAAAGAAACCGAAGAGTCAGAAACCTACTTGGAAATCCTGAGTAAAGAGGTAGCATGAACTTTCGATAGTACTACCAAACCATTGGAAGCCCTCAAAAAAGGATTACTAGGACCTCAGATGAATTGGATGACAACATATATAGAGGAGCATATATCAACCAGGCTATCAGGTTTGCTGGATGGGCCATTTGGATTGGTAGTTTGGGAAGTCTTGTGGGTCTTGTAAGTTTATAAGTAGGGGTATAGAAGTTAGGAAAGGAAGGTATCAGAGTCCCTGTGAACTTTACAAGGGTATAGCAGTTTAATAATTAGCCTTGACTGCAAGTAATAGTCTAGATCAGAGCAGTACTAGGTCAGCTGTAAGTATAGGATACAGAAGGCTCCAGTGGGCTTAGTATAAAGTTAAATATGACTTAGTGACCATGGTATATTTGCAGCAATAGCTGCAGTTGATAGAGTAAGAATGGATATGAGAACTAGAGTATTTAAATAGAAAACTCACAGGCAGGTTCTAGGTATGGCAACTAGTGTAAAACTTTTAGGTAAACTACTTAAAATAGACAATGACTAAAGTTGTATAAGTGGCTAGTTGTACACTCTTTCTATAATTGCCTCTGTAGCTGTTGTATATAATAGTTATATGCTGACTGATTATCAATAAACTCCTGGGTCACAGTTACTCACCTTAACATTAAAAAAATAAAAATAAATAAATAAATTAGAAAATAATAAAAAAATTTTAACATCAGATACTGAAAATAATATATTAAGTTCTAAAGAAAGCAAAACTTCAGAAAACTCTAAAAAAGTATAATTTTATATTTTATATTTAAAATTAATTTAAAATATTTTAAATATTTGCACATATTTGCATATAATTTTAAATATTTTAATAATTTGTAAATTTTTTTGATAATTTTTGGAATATAACAAATATGTAACTAAATATTTAAAACTTGGTGTTTTAATTTTAATTTTTCAAATATTCTAAAAAATATATTTATTAATTATTAATTTATTAAATATTTTTCTATTTTATCTTTTTAAATATTTTTAGAATACTCTAACTAGCTGAAATAAGCATAAAAATATTTTACAAAAATCTAAAATAGTTTGTATTTTTTTAAAATACTTTTTTTATTTTTAATATTAATTAATGATCTACTAGTTATCTGAACAAAGGTTATAGTATAATGTAATGCAGATTATTATATAATTTACTATATAATAAAATGCAATGTGCACCTATTTAAAACCTTTTTTGGCACTAAATTAACAGTTCAAGTTGATTAATTGAAAGTTGTAGAGCTCACTGAGATGCATCTAATAGTAATTAGATTATCTAAATCGGTTTAGTAGATGCCAAGATATTGTTAAAAAACATTTAGCTAATTATGTAAAATTTTATATAAACAAACTATTGTTTATATAGAATTTTATATAAAATTTTATATAGAAATTTACATATTTGGCCAAGTGTTTTTTGATAATATCTAGGCATCTGCTAGACCAATTTGGATAATCTAACTGCCATTAAATATGCCTTAGTGAGCTCTACAACTTTTAATTAATTAACTTGAACTGTTAACTTAGTACTAAAAAGGTTTAGATAGGTGCATGCTATATTTCATTCTATAGTAAATTATATAGTGATTTGCATTATATTACATTATGATTTTTGTCCAGATGACTGGAAAATCATCAATTAATTACAATTAACAAATTTTATTAGATAAATAAAAGGCTAAGAGAAAGTATAATTGTTAAATTACAACTTATATATAGTAAGGATGTGGCAACCTAGTAAAATAATCAGGTTGTTAACCCTTTAAGTGATAGATTGGATGTTCAAAGCCTATCAATAATAAAAAATTAGATAATCACCTATATAATATTCATATTATAATAACTGTTATTAATGATTAGATTAGGATATCTGTAATGATGGTCACATTAGCATGACTAGCAGATCATGAGCCATTTATATAACAGTCATGTAATATTGTTCTTTAGGACAAAGTTTGTAGTTACATGAAGAAATGCAAACTAGCAATTAGGTGATGCAAATACTAAATAAGTTCTTATAGTTGAATAAATTTGTTGAAATTAGGTAACAAAAGTCTATTTAGGAAAATCTAAGTAAAGAGATAGCTAGATCTTTGACAGCCCTATTGTAAAAACTAGCCTAGAGAAATAGATACCAAGGATATAATATCTGGTCATAGTAGCCAGATAATAAGAACCTTCAGATTAAAAGTCTCAGGGGTACTACCAACCAGGCCATTAGAATGAACTAGAGAAAAAGGATATTGAGTTAATCTGATATATTGATAAACTGATCATAGTTCTATATAGGCTATCTGAATTGAAACTTTGAAAAAAAGCAGGTAAAAAGGCAGAAATATACTAAAGTACTAGAGTTATGCTATAAAGTAGATGCTAAGATCTAAGTGAACTCTACAAGGATATAGCAGTTTAATGATTAAGCTCTGATCACAAGTGTTAGTTCTGTTATAGCAATATTTAAATTAGCTGTAAAAATAAATATAAAAGGCTCTGAGGGGTTTACCTTAAGAATAAAATAGTTCTAAGGTTGAGACAATGATCTGAGCATCAGATATGATCTAGTAAAGTTAACAAGTTTGCAGATTCAGAGGGTTTAAAGTAAAATATCTAAGCAGAAGTATTAGATATGACAATTGGTAAGAAACCTTCAGCAGACTTCTTAAATAGGTAATATAGAAAAGTTACACATATAGCCAATTGTATACTCTTCCTGTAGTGATTCACTGAACTACATTTACTATTGTTAAATAAAGTCAAAAGACCCAAGAGATCATCTTAATATCAAAAAAAACAAACTTATATAAAGTCAAAA